GCATTCCTGTTCAGTAACACAAAAACCAGGGAGGAGAGAGTGGAACTTTATACAGATAACTTCAGCGCCTGATTTACCAGCGCTGTGACAGAGGGAACTGTGGCTGAAAGTTAACGTCAGGAGAAAGCAGGTGTAACATTTGTGGGCTGCTCTCAGCGTAGCAGCTGTCAGTCGTCTGAGACCTTGTCAGAGTTAACAACATGTGAGGAGACAGAGGGTGTTTGTAAATCACATTGCTCGCCACAGGAGAATGTGAAGGACTTGTACAGACTTCAGGTCACATCGTGCTTCAGTTACTGAATGAAATAAAAGTTGATTTGACAGGAGACTACGTGACCACAGCCCCAAAATATGTTTTCAGCCAAAATATGCTATATTTCTTCGGCCTTATTAAAGTTAAGCTGCAGTCAAAACACTCTTCTCTACTGTCCCGCTCAGTCCACCTATGCACAGTACAGGCGCATCCTTACCAGCTGAAGCGCAATCGAATTAACACGGCTGCTTTGGCTGTGCTGGTAAATACACTATTAAATTGAATAATTGCGGTGCAGCAACATTTTCCGCACCTGACAGTGATTTCCAACCTTTTTAGTAAATATCCCCCTCAATGATTAATCTGTAAAAACATGGCAATGGCAACAAATAGCTACCAAAATATAAAATATGTGATTAAGAACAATTATTGTACATGTACAGGCCAGGTTTATTTGTAAAATAGGACTGAAAAAGGCAGTTCACACAAGTTATATATTGTATAAAGATATAACTAGAAAAAAACAAAAAGTGAGCTGAAATGGAATAAATGTAGTGATTTAACTTACATTAATACATAGCTAATTAATCCACATTTTGTAATTTATTATTGACTAGTTACCCAGTTAAGAAAAACTAAGTATTTGATCATTCAATATATTCTCCATTTATTTATGATTGCCACTGAACAGGTACAGTAGTTTATGTAAACTACTTTATCATTAGATGTTTGACAACAAAGCTATAGTTTTCATACAGTTAAGTCAGGGGAAGCAGTTGATCCACGAGCTGAATACAAAGGCTGCAGCTGCATTTTTCAACATTACAGACCTAAAAACGATGCATGTCTCCAGCAAGCTATCAGTGTCTACACATTTTTATTGAAGTTATAATTCAAATCTGATGTTAACACAAAGCTGTTTTTCTTTGTGCCCCTGTTTCTCAGCAGAGCATCTTTCTACTTCTAGTTTCTCACAGGAGCATAGTGAAGAAACACTGGTTCATAACTGGTCTGAACCATATAACGTAGTTATTCCACTTTTACTCAGCTTTCTACTTTACTTTATCTTCCAGAAGAAGTAGCTCGTTGGTTTAAAAAAAGACCTTTTAATTGAAGAAAAGCACTTGAAGGAAAGCTCTATAGTCGAGGAGATGTGAAGCAGTACTTGGCTTGTGGCACAACAGTATGACAGGAGAGAGAAGGTGCAGAGACCATACGGTGGGTCTGAACCATGCCCCTTGTAAACGTAGGAAGAAATAGTAGTCTTAGGTACAGATTTGTGTACATATCTGAGATTTATAACACAGGACTGACTAGCCAAACAAATCCAAATCCAGCCAGCTTCATGGAGTCGATCCAGGTGCTGATGAGCTGCAGGGAGGTGACTCTGCCTGTAGCATATATGTGACTCTCAGCGAGATGTAATATAAGCAGGGCTCATCCTTTATGTCCAAATAAATCACTTTGTCTGAGAGTGACAGCAGCAAATGCAGCATTTAAACTATTTATGGAGTCGCATGAAGCAGTTTTTCTCCCGTTGCATAGATTATACGGCCATAATTGTACCTATTGTGGCATGATTTAAAAACAAGCCAGGGAAAATATATTATGCTCGGACACACTGTTGGATTTTCCATCTGCAGCCTAATCAGAGCTGAATTATAGAATGCTCAAACTCCAAACAACCTTTTTGCTCTAAATATTTCAAATGGATGTGAGCGGGGCGACGTGATCAGCACAGTAACGATGTTTGTCGGGAGACGGGCATAGATGCATCAGTATCCATCTGCCCTGTTCTCATTTTGAGTAAATAGAGGGGGATGACTCATACTGGTAGCGCTGCGGAGTGGCGTGTGGGTAAAGATAAAGAAGAAATTTCATCATGTGAGCTAAAACGTGGTTCCACTGCATCAACTGTTCAAATCAGTCGAGTCAAACTCAATCATTCAGGCTGAATATCTTCAAGTCTCTCTAGCTTTAATGCTTAAATGACACTAGGACAATATTAAAAGAAGAGACACCCACACATGCAACGTGTTTTTCAGCATCGTTTGCATCAGAACTGGTCTCAGTAGGACTTGGGTTTGTTCAGACTGCTAGGTGAGTCAGGCCAGAGTGGGAGCTTTGATGTCAAATGAAATGATGTTAACACAGGCTGAGTGTTAACAGCCATAAATATTACATACCCACCCTCCTACATGCTGCAGATCCATCAGCTCCGGGGTTTCACTTTTTTTTAAACCCACCACCTTCCTCGGCCCTGTCAGGGACCTGCCTCTGGGTGTTAACTGAACAATCACAGCTGCATACAGACAGAAAGGGATGCAGTGGTTGGAGAAGGGGAGAGCCAATTGAAGTTGTTGATTGGTTTAGACTGTGGGTGCAGTAGGTTTGGGTCCCACAGCAGGAAATGAAAAGATGGTTCACCTGATAACTGCCTAGAGAGCTCAGAGGTGGCTCATTCTGTGTACAAGGGCTGAGCTTCATTGTGTTTCTAGTAGCCACTGCCTGCCAGTCCTGTGGGATGAAGCCATAAGGCCTTCAGGCTTTGGCTCTACTAAGCATTAGAGTACAGCAGAGTATGTGAGTGACCACATGCAACAATCCTTTGTTTAAAAATACTGTTTTAGATCATCTTCATTTTCTCCCTTAATATCTAAATTATCCTCATTCCTATAATGTAGACTTTAAGCAAAGAAACACAGTGTTCCTGTTCCTGCAGTAATTACAGGAAGTGTTTACGGTAACAAGGGATGCGCAGTGAGCGGAGGTAACTCCTCAGTGATGGGTGGCCTGCGTGCCGAGCTGCAGGTATAAAGCTTGAAATTGCACTTGCGGCTTCTCTGCCACCCAGACAGATGGCAAAGTAAAGATAGTGACACTACTATCTCATCTGTCATCCTCAGTCACATGTAGCCCATGTCCTGTATCTCTGAGGAACTTTATTTTTCCCTCTTCAGTGACTTTGACAAGTTATTTCAGTAAACTTGTGAAATCCTACTTGGTGTGGCTATTCTGTGTTCCTCAAATGTGCCACCACACACTGCTGTCCTCTCAGCCTTCAAGGTGAAACACAGCCCTCAAACACAGAAATATAATGGAGAGAAATAACTTGAGCATTGCCATGGAAACTAGCCTTTCCAGCACTGGTACTGAAATAAGACGTTAGACGAAGGAAGGAAAGAATTGCTAAGTTTTTTTCTTTACAGCTCTCACATTTTTCTTCATTTCAAGGCCTGTTTCTCTGAAGTGTCTTGTTATATGCTGATATGTTGCAGTAGGTTTGTTAACTCAATGCATCACCCACTGTGACAAAGCCTTTGCCATTCTTTGAGTGAAAGTGTATGGTAGTATAACTGACCAGGTTTTTCTGGTGGGGGGGTTTGGGATTTGGGTGTTTAAGCATTACTGAAGTGACTAAAGGCCTTGGGGAAACTGTTACAATCCTAAAACCTCCCCTTACACTTCCCCCATTGTCCCCTCCCCCACCAAGTCACCCTGATTGACCTCATCACATGAACAAAGAGCCAGAGTCATGATTTTATGCTAGTGATGTTGGCATTTCTTTGGTCATGTTTTGCTGTTACCTCCCCTTTCCCAAAATGTGTTGTTATCTAATCCCCTCACCCCTGTATCCAACTGTTTCCTTGACTGTGACCCTGACCTATTTTCCTTATTGAAGAGAGAAATGTTATGAAGTCAAATATCAATAGACTGTGTATGATATTCTGCCATGTTCTGTTCACATACAGTATCCACTATTTGTTCAACTCTTAACCGTAGCTGGGCTTCCAGTCACTGAGAGGATTTTATTTTACACCCAATAATATTCAGTTAATTTGGGTGTTCACAGTGGGCTACAATCAAATTACATAACCAAAATCTGACAACAAATTTGGGCTCATTAAGATAATCTTTTGCTGGATGTCAATACCCCATGTTTATGTGTGGTGTCTGGGAGGGAAGTGGGCATCAGATTTAAAGAAACAAACGAGTAGAGGAGGTAAATGGGGAGGGGGGAGTTGTTTATCACTATCCAAGAACAATCTTACACAGCTTTCTTTTGTAATTTTTTTTTTCATGCAAAAATCATGCGGCCAATTTGTTGATGTAAGTGACCTGAACCTCGTGGTTTGCTATCTTATTTAACCAATCACAGCAGAAACTTCTGAGCGTTAGTGTAGTGAGCATAGGTAAGACTAGAAAGTCAGCAGTGAAGGATAGGCTGTGTAGTACAGTAGAGTTATAGTTCAGTTGTTCAGTGTAATTTGTAGTCTGCTTTTATCCTGTATTATTAACATGTAGGTCTGTGCAGTACAGGGAGCTAGCAGAGCCAGGAACAGGTTCAGAATAAAGTATTTTCTTACATCTTGTATTTTATCAGTTCAGATTTAGTCAGCATATTCTCTTGTTAAATAGAACAGACTAAGTGCACTTGTATAACTAACCTCATGTTAGGTTGTAGTGCTGTTCTAATACTGGTGTTGCTGTATTCATTTTGAACTGTTTTTCTTTTGTTGATCTGGAGGTGGTCTCTCTCAGAGGTGGGCTCTAACACTCTTTTCCTCGTTGTCTCTTTCTTGTCCTAGGAGGTGAATTAGTGTTGCCCATAATAACGGTGGACTCCCTAGACCCCCCGTCCATCGCCACCCACCCTACTCGAAACCACCAAAGAGTCCCTCCCCTTGCCCAATGGCCGAGCTCCCTGCCCCTTGGACCAGGAGGACTGCGAGGAGACTATCGAGGTGTCAGCGTACGGCTCGGGCGAGATGACCGAGTCGGATGATGAGGACTATTACAAAAACTCCCCCCTGGTCACTGATAGGACTGTCCTCCCTCCTCCCCCGGCCGTCGAGGGTAGCGTTCAGAACCCCCGAGACCGGGTGCTGCTGCCGCCGGCCCACCCCTCTTCAGACCCGAGCCACCGCAAAGTACCAGGAATAACCTACCCCCCAAATTTCCCCCATGTTCCCACTTTAGATCCTACGTCTCCTGAGAGAGGGCTCCCAGGTGCTGTGGAGGTGCAGCAGTCCAGCAGCACCACAGGAATGGTGGTGGGCATCGTTGCAGCTGCCGCTCTCTGCATCCTCATTCTACTCTATGCCATGTACAAGTATCGTAACCGTGACGAGGGCTCCTACCAGGTTGACCAGAGCCGCAACTACATCAGCAACTCAGCCACACAGAGCAACGGAGCCCTGGTGAAGGAGAAACAGCCCAGCACTGCCAAGACAGTTACCAAGAACAAGAAGAACAAAGACAAAGAGTACTACGTCTGAGGGAGCGCCGTCGTGACACAGACACACTTAGAGAAGGAAGGAGACGAGAGGGAGAGGGAGAGGGGGGAGGGAGAGAACAGGCAGTATATGAACAGTGGGGAACATAACACAGAGGGTCATTTATTATAATGCTCAGTATTGTCAGGTGGCCATACATGTTACCAATTCCAGTCTAACCGGAGGGAAGCAACAAATTAAGATGGCATCATGATTGATCCAACTTGTTCTTAAATGTTGACCATGGTTTGGATTTAAAGAACGGCTATTACACCGCAGAGCAACACATACTGTGCCAACACCCGTGTACCAAATGCTGATAAAACACTGATTTATGGGTTAGCATATGACAGGTTATTTAATATCTTGGGTACTGTAGCAAAGCACCACCATCAGTATTTGTGTCAGGGTCTGTACTTCGTTCTGAAGCGGGCCTGTGGTGCAAGTCATCACCTTAGACAGTATCAACATATTATTTTCCAACTAGGCCTGAATTGGCAACTTGACATCCCTCTGTAAAATCAATATACTGCCAGCTTACAGAAACACTGTGTTAATCCAGCAGTCCCACCTCTGTAAATGTTGGGCATTTGTGATCTCTCACCTCTTGTCAGATCTCTCCCTCTCGTACTCTGTTTCTCTTGTTCCGGTGCTCAGCAGCCGATGCAATGTAAACTCTGCCGTGTTTCAAGCATGTAGTATTCATTTACAAAGACATGAAAACCATTTTTCTTTCTGTGGAGTTAAAAAAATATGACAGTGACTGATGCTCTTAATGATGTTAAACGTAGCAACTATGTGAGATACCATCACTCCAATCTAATGGATGCTAACCTGTACGTTTAGCCGCCAAAAAAATTGAGGCCAAACCCCCTTGGTCGTCCTTTGTTCCAGCAGATCTGTGTCATGTGTTTCTGGGGCTCCAAGCCGCGCCCTAGTTGGCCAGCTGAAAAAAAAACTCAACATCCTTACAGTTACTAGTCACCGAAAACAGAAAAAACCCTCCAGCAAACAAGATGAACTGTGTTCTATATAATTATAAATACATGTACCTAAGGACCTAAATCGTGAGCAAGTGGAAACTTGAGTTTGCCTCCACCCCCGGAACTGAATGGCTGGTGCAATGCCTTGCTGCAAGACTTGGTCACTTTGGTTTGCTCTTATGTTTTCAGTTTTTCTTTTCTCTGGAGAAATGAGACATTTTAGGGAAATATGAATTTATGCTTGCTGGAGTTCCACTGTGGAGAGCGCTACTGTACCTTGCAGGTGAGAAAGCGACTGTCTTTCACCCCCCGTAGCCTGACTGGACTGATGGCAGCCAATGGGCAAAGTAAACTGTGGGAAGAGCACACAAACAAAAATGTGACTGGCAGTTCCCTGGAAGATGTACAACAGAACTCTAGTATTCCAATTTTCTCAACTCTATTAAAAAGAAAACTATCATGAAAAAAACTGAAACAAGTTTGTGAAATGTCTAAATATTTGACTCATTCCATTACTAAGAGAAATGTGTTTTCCCTGCTATCATTCCTGTTTGGAGAAAAAAATGACTGATTCTGGAAAACTGAAATTTCTATGTATTTTCTTTTAGTAATCGAGCAAATGTGATTTGGGTTATGAAGATGAACCTACTAAGTTCCTCTCATTTTATTCCATCCTCAGTCTATTTTTGTCCTACATCTATTCCTTTTTCTCTGTATGGCAGGTTGTATGTCCCCATACCCTGTGCAGAAGGCAGGCTCTATCTATCCATTTTTATTTGTTTTATATATATTTCTGTCTACATGGCCAGAGACAAGATGGCAGCCGTTTCATCTGGCAGGCTCCATTGACTCACTCTCCTGCCATGTTTGTCTGGTTTCTCTTTTTCCATTTCAAACATACTCCTCCCAGTATCTTCCTGTTCTTTCTAAATGTTATTGTAAAGTGTTCCAGTGAGATGACTCTAAATATGTGTACATTAACAGAGGGAATACACTTGGTTATATACTTCTTACTTCCTTTTTTGTGTGTGTTTTTTCCTTGTCTTTCAGTCTAATTCGATTTTACCCTTTGACATATGCAGTGGGCTGGGACAGTGCTTGAGTCCTGTCTCCATATCCAGATTACATCTGATGTAAAAAGTTAATAATAATAATCACCTTTATTTGGCCAAGTATGTTACACACAAGGAATTTGTTTCCGGTACAGAACCGAGGCAGCCATCTGCGGTGCCAACTCAACCGATGGCTCTAACCATAGGGGGCAACTTGGGGGTTCAGTGTCTTGCCCAAGGACACTTCGACATGTGGACTGCAGGCACTGAAAGCCAAACCTTCAACCTTCCGGTTGGGAGACGACTGCTCTACCCACGGCACCACTGTCGCCTCCGTTGTTGCATTCTAGTGTGAGGACTGGGGTAAGATAGATTACTAGCTAAAATGGGGTTAAAGGTTTAAAGCTCAGTACTGCACTCTCAGAAATATAAGAAAACAATTACTCAGCCATGCCCCCTACAGAGGCCAGTTTCAACTCAATTACAAATTGCATGCTTTACATTTTTAATGGCCATTTGCTGGCCAGGGACAGACTTAGGGATGTTTTTTTTTTATCTTCTATTCAGGCCAGAATCTAAACAGCTATAGGCTAATAAACCAGGATGCAAGTTGAAACCCACAGGATAATTAACTGACTCTATTGAAATATTTTTATTCTGAGGGTAGGAGGGGGTGTGGGCAGCTCACACTGCCCCTGACTTTACAATCACTCTTTGTTCTGCATTACCAAGTTAGACAACACTGGTGATTACACTTACAGGGAATCACTTACCCCAACAGAGTCTGGTTCTGGATATGTTGCTTTGCTGAAGAGCACCAACGAGCAGCTCTTCCTCTGAACAGAAACAAAGAAACAACAGTCAACTACTAAACTAACCAAGTCATGCTGCTAACAGATTGTTAATTATTTCCTGTACTTTAATCAGTCCTGCTTTGGCAGAGCTGCTAGTCTTTAAATATTTTTAGCTGTTCTGACCTGCTCTAGATGTTTGGTCAGGAGTGTTAGAGGTGTAAAATATCACAATTTGGTCCTATGGGCTAATTTCAAACCCTAAGATTCAGTTCTTGTTCCTAAGATCTGCTGTTTAATTTCACACAAATGACCTTCAGGTGAATAAATTATGAGAATACTATACTGTCTGAAAACACTCTTGATGACTTTCACTATACCTTTTTTTCCCATGGGTATTTTTTGTTTTGGAAATTTAGCATGCAAAACTATCATTTTGATTTTAGTCTACATGAACAGCCCCTCCTTGAACCGCCACCTTATTGTGGTGGAGGGGTTTGAGTACCCGAGTGATCCTAGGAGCTATGTTGTTGGGGGCTATATGTACCTGGTAGGGTCTCCCAAGGCAAACAGGTCCTGGGTGACGGGTCAGACTAAGAGCGGT